TGTACATCCGCACTGAACAGGAGGTGCTGCAGCAAGTACTGTGCTCTGTTTTGTCCCAATCTGCTGAGGACAAGAGGCCAGTGGAAGGTTTGGATGAAACCATGTAGAGGAAGTCGCTAATTAGTTATACCCAAATAGCATCATATTTAACAAGAACTTCCATAGTTCCCACTTCTCCTGCTGTAATTATTTCCAGCCCTGAGAAGTTCAGTATCACTGACTGTGCCACGTGCATGGGGGTGGGTGGCATGGAAGGGTAGCTGGAAGCTGGGCCCACACAACACCCACCAGCTTTGAGGACTGATTTAAAATGCTGTTGTGATGGCAGCATCAAAACTGGAAGTCTTTTCAGAGTCTATGGCATCAGCATTCCCCCTCAATGTGCAAGACCCTTTTATCTCATTGAAAAACATTAAATTATCAGAAGATGAAGCAAAAAGTATCAGTTGGTTTTAATTTCCTTTTGGAACATTTCCTCCCTGCAAAATGCTGCCATAAACAATACTTTTGTACTAACAGAATCACTTTATAAAAGAAAAAATAAAGGTATTATTTTCAGCAGGGGGGTGTGATGTTGGGCTGAATACGACTTTTTTCCCAAAGGACCCTGAAATTTAATTTTACTTACCTTGGATGTTACCTCAAGTCTCAAAGCTTCCTACCAGCTTGACACCAGAACATGCCAAAGAGGTTTTGTATTATGAAAATTAGGTTTAAAACCAGAGCAGATACTGACCCACCAGCTGGAATCTCAAAGACAGATTTTGCACTTGGCAGAAGGCCATCACTTAATAACAAGAAGAAATGGGGACTTTGTCTCAATGGTAATGTACCATGCACCTAAAGCAAGCATCCAGCTGGAGTGGGACAGGGGACCTCTCACCCCAAATGTGCTTGCCACGGTTAGTGGTATCTCCTCTTCCACTGACACCTGGTATGCTGTTTTGCTCTCTGTAGAGCTCCTGAGGGTGAGCAGAAAGTACACAGGGGTGTTCTTACGATTTAGCATTTCAGTGTGGCCCACAGCCTCTCACTGAACACCAGGAATGGGGTTAAATTACCCCAGAAGGCATTAAATTACATCAGCTCCACCACTACGGCCCTGGCATGGGAAAGCGGTTTGTCTTCTTGCACCTGGCACATCCGTCCCTAGGCCAGACAGAGCTCGTGTTCTGTGGAGCAGCTTTTAGCACTGAGAAACAGCTGGAGAAGTCCCAGCTTTGGCTCAGGCCACCAAAGTGAGCTCTTAAACATGAAAAGAGCTAGACCCAGGTCTTGTGTCTGTGATGGTGGCAGGAGGTTGCCCAGCCTGCAAGCTGGAAGAGAAACTCAGCACTGTGGGATAGCTCCTGCTACAGGGTGGTGGTGCCTCCCGCTCATGGGCGATGACTTGTCCCTTAGCTCTCTCCTTCACCCTGAATCAGAAGCTCGAGCTTGAGATAAATATTAACCCAACACAGAAATAATGTCTCCCAGAATGCCTCTTTCAGGGGCAGCGTGCCAGGATACAGGAGTGGATCGAGTGTCTTTGCCCCTGTTTTGCACGCAAGGGCTTAGCTGCAGCATATAGAGGTAACAGTGATTCAGACCAAAGATCCTTCCACCCCAGGGCCAAAAAGGGGTGAAGAAGGGAAGCCTCCCAGGCTCTACCTGTTCGCAGCTTAGGGACTTACTGAGTCAGCAGTGGCTTTCTGTGTGTATGGCCACCCTCCACCAATTTGTCCTCTCAAAACCACATAGACTCTTGGTGGGCCCAAAGTCCCACAACAAGGTGCTCTACAGATTAATTGCACATTCTGGGGAGGGGCAGAGGGGAATCAAAACCGTAATTTTAGGATTGGAGCTAGTATGCCAAGGTTTAGATTAATGCAGAGACAGAAGGCTTAATTTAACATGTTACGCATACAGGAAAGGCTGACGCTGAGGTGGAGACACCTGTTTCATCCACAGCCGCCAGGACAAGCAGAGGGAGCTACTGGGCTGTGCAACCAGGTCAAACTGTTTCCAACCACAGCTGTTGGCCGTGGCAGCACAAATTATCCTTGTGCACTTAATGCAGGGGTAACCTCTGGTCAAAACACCCCCGGCACTAACTGATGCTCACTTCGGGTCTTACAGAGGCCCGGAGGACTTCTGTAGGGCTAAGTTAACTTCTGGGCCCAGCTGGCATCTCGTGACACCAGTTCAGTGCTTTTCAGTAGCCCCAAAGTTTGTGGAGCAGAAGTGGAGTAGGGCCCATGAGGACACGCTAGCTTGGCTCCAAGGTGTAGGTCTGCACAGGCCTTGCAGATATTCCTGCATCCCCCACATTTTAGTAAAGAACCACCACAAATGACTGGTGGGTAATATGACAAAAGGAAATGGCCCTCAGCGAATACACATGCAGAGCAAAACCAAGTGCTGGTGAAGACAAAACAGAAAATAAACTTCTAACAACCCAGAGAAGTCCTTCCCTTCTGATTTCAATTAAAAATTATTTCCAGAATTTCCTATTAGGGACAACAGCTTGGTCCTTATGTTTTCTTCAGAAAAGTTTATTTTTTAATGGGTCATTATGTAACACATAGACCAATGTTTATTTATATACTGTAGACATAAGTCAGGCTACAGTTTGGTCTAATAATCACAGAATCACAAAATCAGAGAATGGGTGGGGTTGGAAGGGACCTTTGGAGATCATCTAGTCCATCTTCCCTCCCACAGCAGGATCACCTAGAGCAGGTTGTACAGGACGCACATTTTAAATGTCTTTTTAAAAAAAAATATAAGGGTAGGATGGAAGAAAATATTTTTAAGCTGTTGCAAAAGGCTCTAGGAAAAATACAATTGTAAGTATACTTCTAATTTCCTTGGTCTTGATTTAAAAGATAATGACTTTCAAAAGTCTGTAACAGTAGCAAAAATCTGTGTTTGTGTACAGCCATGCACGTAACAGTATGAGTAAATTAGATTAGCCGTATCATCTGTAAAGAAAAACCTTCTGCCTTTTGAGCTTCTTTAGCTAGGTGGCATCATTTTAAAACTTGTGCATTCTTTTAAGATATTGTGGTAAGACTCCATTAACATTTTTATCTCATTCCACACTTTCAATGTGTGCAGCTGCCAGTGACGTGCAGGGGATCTACCTCGTTCTTGGCCTTCTGTCTACTCTTCCCAAAACCTCTTTTCCACTTTTATTACTTCCATACTGTGTAGTTGGCCTCCACAGCTCTCTCCCAACTCAGGTTTTTATAATTGTTTGAAACTGGCTGATTTGTCCAGTTGTGACTAAGACAGTGCTGAGGCAGACCACATGTCTCAGGTGACTAGAGGCTGGTGCTGTTTCCACTAGGGTCTGTGATCTTGGCTACAGTGCACCTGGCTGAGAACAGTATGGGGTATGAATACTTCTTTTCCCTTCCTCTGCAGGCACTGCTGACTTTATACCACAAGAGGTTTAAAGGAGGCATCATCCACTGAACGGGCTTGAGTTCAAGGCCAATCCAAAAACATAGAGCAGAGTTTCCCTTACAGCAGGATCTGCTGCACGCTGTCAGTGACAGCGCTGTGGGTACACCTGGAATAAAGCCCTGCTCAGCAGAAAAGCATGGCAGCAGGATCTGGCACCATGTTAGGGAAAAGAAATTGTATTAATCTGAAGCATTTGACTCATCCTGGGTCTGTGGAGGACTGAGCTGCACAGGCAGGGCATCCAGCCCAGGAGATGGACGAGGCTGGGAGGCAAGGGAGAAGGCCATCAGACCCATTCCCAGAGGCAGGCAGGGCATCTCTGTGTGCTAGACCCATGGAGGCCAACTCCTTGGCCGGGAAACTAACATTTTTTTCTGGAGAATATCAAGCCATCTTTTGTGACCTAGTCCAAGTAGTTTACAGTTGCACCTCTTGAGTGCCATATTCCATGGATCAAACACCTTCAATACTGAAAACTGCTACAGAAAAGACCTCCTCCCTCCCATTATGAATGAGAGTCAGAGACAGGGATATCAATGTAGAAACCCCGGCACAGGAGGAGCATAACTGTGAAGCAGAGAGAGATGGCCACACACTCATCCTGGCCAAGTGTGAGGCGATCAGAAGAGAAGACCCAGGTGTACCCAGTAGTCAAAGTTACCATAACATTAGGCCCTGCCTGCAGCCAGGCTGTGGTGTGTTTCACACTGAGATGAGAGCTCCTCTATGGCGCAAACTCACCTCTGGAAGGCACAGTGCCGCCAGGATCAGGCCAACCCATAGATGGCTCTGCTGAAAGCTAAACAAAGAGGAGAGGTAACTCCCAGCATTTCCGAGCCAGGCAGGGAGACATACTTTGTGCTCCCGTGTTGTTCCACAGGAACCAAAATAAACTGGAGAGGAAACTGCCCTCTCCCACAACCCATTTCACTTGTCCCAGCCTAAGTGCCACAGGAAGATGTCCTCCAGATCCCAGGACTTCCTCCAACACACATCTGGAGACAGTGTCATGACTCAGTAACTGCAATGTTAAACACGTGCTTTCCAGGCAGGTTAGCCACTGAAGGCACCATGCCTTCAAAGAGCAGGTTTCTTTCCTGACCAATTCAGAAGCTTTAGGTACCAATGAGGGAGTGCTCTCAGTCCATTATTTCCAGTAACTTTATTTGTACACAAAAATCTCTTTCAAGCCTCCATCACAAAAGGTAGAAAAGCCCTGCCTGGCTGGGTCTTTTACACCATGTCAACTTCTGTGGTGGTGTCACAACTGATATTTCCTATGCACCTTTAGCTGTAATCCTGAATTGCACAGGACAGGGTGGGCTGAACGGGGAGAAGTACAGAAGAGGATAAAACTCCTTTGACACCTTCCAATCCATTACAAAGTTGGACTTGGTCCCCAAATGGTCCTATACCTACAGTCTTGCTTCCTGGGACAGATGAACTCCTGCTGTGACCACCCTTCCCCTCCCTGCTCCATCTCTTCCAGACAGTTGCTACTGAAGACCTTCTGCAAGGCAGGAGGGAAGTGATGAGGAACTCTGGTTTTGTCAAATCTCTTCTTCCTCTTCACTAACAACCTCCTTCAGATCCTGAGGCCTCTGCTCTGCTCTCTCTTTTACATAGGCTGCCTTGATCTGTTCCAGCTCACACAGCTCTGCCTCCAGTTCTTGCCTGTGCATTGATCGCCGGTTCCTTAGCAGTTTCATGGGGAAGGGGTTTAAGTCATTGAAGGCAATGTTCATCAGCTTCCTACGATGGAAAAGACAGGTCTGGTGAGTTGATTTACTGGCTGGCACCAGAAGGTGACAGATAAACCAAGTGCATCCTGGGATGGGTAAAGAGCAGGGCCTCAGATTCCAGCTCTATGAGCTCAAAAGTCACCAAGTAAAAGAGTCTTAAAAGAATCAAAGGCAGTTCCTTCTCACACAAGCATAAACCCAAGCAATGCTTTAAACAGCCTTATGTCACCTTTTAAGGTACCGGTGTGCAGCCACCACTCAGGAGACAGTGGATCAGATGCCAGTTCTAATGGTCCCTGGGGGAAGAATATTCCTGGCATTGAGCTCTTCTGATCACAGAAAACTTCCTTTCAGACACATGTTGCCATTAAAGGTTGTGAATGGTCCTGTGCTCCCAGGTACCCCAACTAGAACTAAGGGAAGCCCAGCAAGTGGCAGCACAAGCTCCAGCTGATGCAAAAAGGAGGCTGGCGCAGACTTTGTGGCCTGCTCTGCTGCAGTATGCCTTTGCCAGAGCCAAAAGGACACTAAGGAACACCATGACAGGAAACTGATCTGTGTCCCATGTACCTGCTAATGCGCGTGTATCTCTCTTAGCGGACCGGTCACAACTATTTTTAGGTTGACCTAATAGGCAAGCAAGTACAAACCCAGGATGCAAGGTTAGCTACAACCCAGTCCTACCTGCCATCCATGATCATTCTCGTGAAGAAGCGTAGGTACTGGTAGATCTCCACACTGTCATGAATTCTTAGGATTTCCTCCTCGTTGTATTTAAAAATCGCAAGAGCATAGCGGAAAATCACCTGGAGGTTTGAAAGGTATTTGAGTTGACAAAGTCTCAGGCAGTTGAGGGACCAGGCCCTCCTGGCGTAAAACATGGAGTGGGGCACACAGCACTGCAGTACACGCTGGGCACAGGACTTCTGCTGCTCTCAACAGGCTGTGTTAGGGTAGGTCTGCAGAAGCACAGAGCAAATCCCAAGAGAATGACCCTCTGTTAGCTAATTTATAACCGCAGAGCATACCAGGTCCTCCAAAAGGACCCCACAGGGATTTCACAAGGGCAATGCAGGACTCACATTTTCAGATACTAACTCTCTGCCCATCTTCTGCTCCCTGTACCCATCATATTCTCAGCTGTGTCCGGGTCACGGAGCAGAAGACACCAGGGCCTGTCAGAGAGCTGCTTCATAGCAGGACCACCTGCTAAAAAGTGCCAGGAGTACTGTGTACAGTATCAGGGACTAGGTCTGCCTATCAGTAGCAAGTACATAGACAACACAGAGGCTGGGAGGCATCATGGCACCCCGTCAAACAGGCAGGATAAGACAAGAGGCTCAGCCCCACTTCTCTTTGACATATGTGCATGTCCATCGCCCTATCATCATATCAGAGATGTGGTGCAGATAGGAGGAAGGCCTAGACTGAGAGTTGCACCTTAGTTCCCTCGTACAAGAAGGCATCCCACACTCGCAGGAGGATGTCGCTGACCAGGCTGTCCACAAAGGCCACCAGAAACCAGTTGAAGGTGATGAGTGAGACATCAATTCCATACTGCTCAAAATGAGCCATGAGGCGAGGCAGCTTCTCTGACAGGAAGTCTTTGAAGACTCTCTGATCTACCTAAAGTTGATAAAAAAGAAAACAATTAAATCCTAGTTGGGAGCAGTCCTAGTGTTGGAGAGGAGCAGTGCAACAGGACAGTAGCCCATGTATGCCATGGTAATCACTGGTGCTGTCTTCTAGCCTAACCACACCCTAGGAAGAGTAGAGTATCCATCATCTCCCAACCTTTCAAAATTACTGAGCAGTGTACTTTTATGCTGTACCCAGTACAAGATGTGGAGCTGAAACAGGGCCGAGATACATGGAGAGATACACACATTCTTCTCACTCAGAGAATTATATTTCTTCTCAGCCTCAAAGTCAAGAGGGAAAATGCTGTCACATCTTCCTGCATTGGTCTTACCAGGATTTTCTGTGATACCATGAGCACTCAGTTGAATAACAGGGATTAAAACCTGCCCAGATCTGAATGATTGCACATGGCCCAACAGAATAAACACCTAGAATCCCTCTGAATTCACAAGCACTGCCTGATCTTCTCACTTAGCTTCTCTTTGTGGTCTGAGTACTGTCTGTACTCTGCTTCTGATTGCATGAGCCAAGACACAGAACTGCAGTTGGTGTAATCCTTGACCCAGATTTACAAAGGTTTCATCCCAGGGAAGTCATGGTTTCATGAAGGGAAGTGCTAAGAGGTAAGATCATGGTTAGGTCTTCCCCTATGTCATATCATACTACCACTCCAGCGGTGTCAGTCCACTTAGCTGTGGCACAGTGGTACAAACCAGATGAGGTGATATGCTTGGTCTTCAAAATCTGCAAGAGCTAAATCTTAAGTTTTCCAGCCAGCTCAGAGCTTTCACTTTAACAAGCCAACCCACAAAACATCACAGAATCGATTTGGTTGGAAGAGACCTCTGGCATCACAAAGTTCAACCTTTGCCCTAACACCACGATGTCAACTAGACTATGGCACTAAGTGCCACATCCAGTCTTCTCTTAAACACCTCCAGGGATGGTAACTCCACCACCTCCCTGGGCAGCCCATTCCAATGTTTAACAACCCTTTCTGTGAAGAAATGCCTCCTCATTTCTAGCCTGAACTTCCCCTGGTGCAGTTTCAGACTATGTCCTCTTGTCCTGTCACTAATTGCCTGGGAGAAGAGATCAACCCTCACCTCACTACAACCTCCTTTCAGGTAGTTGTAGAGACCGATCAGGTGTCTCCTCAGCCTCCTCTTCTCCAGACTAAACAACCCCAGTTCCCTGAGCCGCTCCTCATCAGATTTGTGCTCCTGACCCTTCACCAGCTTTGCTGCACCTCTCTGGACACGCTCCAGCAGCTCAACATCTTTCCCAAAGTGCAGGGCCCAGAACTGGACACAGTACTCCAGGTGCTCGCCTGTGCCGAATACAGGGGGACGATCACTTCCCTAGTC